TCTGTACAGAGCCTGACCCTCCAGTGTCTCTCTGATGTTGGCTATGACAGATTTGCTCTGTCCAAAGAATGGGGATGGAACGTCCACCAGAGCTTAGGCTGGGCTCTGTCAGGCCCATTTACTCTTGACACTCAGAAAGGCTGACAAGGAGGCGGGTACATATGCTAGAGTAGGAACAAACTTTTCTTTGAGTGTTTGACCCAGTAACCCCTCCCCCAACCCTCTAGACATCCTGGTGGCAGGTGAGGAGCCAGTGGGTTCACTCAGGGACCCAGACTCTGCATAGGCCCCTGCTGAGGGTCTCAGGTGGTGAGGCCAGAAAGAAAGTGAAGGGCCCCAGGGAGGGGGAGAGACAGAGAGAGACAGGGTGTGGGAGGGGAGTTGGGAGACTCAGAGAAACGGAGCTTTGTCAGTCACAGAGCCTGAGGGACACTTTCCTTCTGTCCAAGTAGGGGGCAGCCGATATCCCCTGTGTCATAGATCAATGCACGGAGCTGGGCAGTTCCAGGCAGAGTTCTCCATGAGCCTTGTGACCTCAGTCCACGGAGGCACCTACAGGTGCTACAGGTCATTCAGCCCCTCTCCTTACCTGCTGTCACTCCCTAGTGAGCCCCTGGAGCTCCTGGTCTCAGGTGAGGGGCCCCTGACCCTGTCCTTTCTGAGCTCAGTCATTGAGGGCCCTGTTCCCAGGAGAGGTGAGGCAAGGGTGGATTAAATACAATAAGAGTGCCTTGAGCTGAGCTGTGGGATGAGGTGGGGAAGGGCTTTGTAATGCAGCCTCTTGTTTTCTCCAGGGACCTCCCCCAAACCAACACTCTGGGCTGAGCCAGGACTAGTGATCCCACGGGAGAAGCCCCTGACCATCTCCTGTCAGGGGACCCCAGAAGCTGAGGAGTACCGTCTGGATAAAGAGGGAAGCCCACCATCATGGAAAAGAGAGAAGCCACTGAAGCCCGGAGACAAGGTGATGTTCTCCATCACACACATGACAGAGGGTGATGCTGGGAGATATCGCTGTTACTCTCTCAGCCCTGATGGCTGGTCAGAGCCCAGTGACCCCCTGGAGCTGGTGGTGACAGGTGAGAGGACACTCAGAGGTCCTAGCCTCAGGCTCTGCCCTACGGAAGGGGGTCTGCTCTCAGGGTGTCTCCTTCTCAGAGCCCAGCCCTGGGGGACATGAGGGAAGAGTGAGTCCATTCACCATGCTGCCTCCCCCTCTCCTAGGAGCCTACAGCAAACCCAGCCTCTCAGCCCTGCCCAGCCCTGTCGTGCCATCAGGAGGAAAAGTGACCCTCCAGTGTGGCTCAGGCCAAGGATTTGATGGGTTCATTCTGACTAAGGAAGGAGATCACAGGCTCTTCTGGACACTGGACTCACAGGGACAGCCCAGTGGGCAGTTCCAGGCTCTGTTCTCCATCGGCCCCGTGACCCCCAGCGACAGAGGCCCATTCAGATGCTATGGCTATGACAGGTACAGGCCCCAGGTGTGGTCACACCCGAGTGAACCCCTGGAGCTCCTGGTCTCAGGTAAGGCCCATTATTGTCCCTTCCACTGATTCAGGAAACAAATAATGGGGTGTTCCTAGGGTCATTAATTTGAGTGCAGCCCCATATGAGAGGTGAGGGGAGTACAAGGGCTCTTGAGCCAGAGTCACAGAGAAAGACAGTGAGACCTGGAGGCCAGGCCAGGATAATGGGGCAATGGGAGGAGTAGCCCTGTAATTCCTGTCTGGTCTCCCCAGGTAAGTCTCAGAAGCCCTCCCTCCTGACCCAGCAGGGCCCCATCATGGCCTCTGGACAGAGCCTGACCCTCCAGTGTTGCTCTGATGTCGGCTATGACAGATTCTCTCTGCACAAGGAGGGAGAACAGGACCTCCCCCAGAGCCTTGTCCTGCAGCCCCAGGCACACCTCCCCCTGGACACTCAGAGAGGCTGACCGGGTTGGGGGGTATATATGCTAGAGTAGGAAGAACCTTTTCTTTGAGTGGTTGGTCCAGTGATGCCCTTGACATCCTGGTGGCAGGTTTGGATCCAGTGGATTCAGCCAGGCATGTAGATCTGCACAGGCCCTGCTGGGGTCTCATGGGTGATGCTAGAATGGCAGTGCAGGCCCCAAGGATAGGGAGAGACAGAGAGAGACAGGGGGTGGGAGGGGATAGGTGGAGACTCAGAGATACAGAGACAGAGAGGAGGGTCCTCAGAGAGAGTCCTGGTGACTCTCAGGTCAGAACAAGGTGGGCAGGCATCCCTCACCCTCCCTCCCTCTCTCAAGGATGGCTGTCTGACACACCCTCTCTCGGCGCAGACACACCCTCCCTCTCGGTGCAGCCAGGCCCCAGTTTGGCCTCAGGAGTGAACATGACCTTGCTGTGTCAGTCACAGAGCCCGAGGGAGACATTCCTTCTGTCCAAGGAGGGGGCAGCCTATCCCCTCCTGTTTCTGAGATCAAAGCACCGAGCTCAGCAGTTCCAGGCCGAGTTCTCCATGAGCCCTGTGATCTCAGCCCACGGGGGCACCTACAGGTGCTACAGCTCACACAGTTCCTCCATCTACCTGCTGTCACTCCCCAGAGAGCCCCTGGAGCTCCTGGTCTCAGGTGAGGGGCCCGCTGACCCTGTGCTTTCTTAGCTCAGTCATTGAGGACCCTGTCCCCAGGAGAGGTGAGGCTAGGATGGATGAAATACAATAAGAGTGTCTTGAGCTGAGCTGTGGGATGAGGTGGGGAAGACCTTTGTAATGCAGCCTCTTGTTTTCTCCAGGGACCTCCCCCAAACCCCCACTCTGGGCTGATCAAGGACCAGTGATCCCGCGTGTGGTACTTTGTATGGCAGCCCCAGCGCACTAACACGGCCACCCCCTGCCAAGCCCCCTCTTCAGCCAAAGCAAACACTGTTCTTTTTGCTGAAACTCAGAGAAGCTTCCATTGCTCCTTCCTGTGCTGCTAACTCTCCTCTCCCTGCACTCTGATTTGTTAGGGTGTCCAGAAGGCAAAGCCCTGCACCCAGGGGGCCCTGACCACTATGGAGAAAGGCATGCCTCTCACTTTATGTTTGGACTCTGTACGGCTGCTCATGGAGCTTAAGATTTGTTTGGCTTTTATTGAATCACACTCTTAGCTCACTTTGAGCTTTGTCTCCATGAAGAGCCCCAGGTCTGTTCACTGCTATTGCTGTCAAAAAGCCACATCTTCCACTTTCAGTCCTTTCATATTTATTT